AAATAAATTCTTCCTCTAGGTTTGACCTACAGACCTGTATACATATAGGAGACCATATCCCTGCACTAGTGGAACATTTTGTACACACTGCAAAGAACAAATSTATCAGTCCCTTATTTCTGATTGATGTGTGTGCCCTCCATAAAAAATCTGACAACAGATTGTACTCAGGCTTTCTTCCAATACTGCACTCTTTAGGAATTAGCAATTCCTGCCTTCTTGAGCTACTTACTTACTCCTAAATACTTGAGCTCATTTTTGGGGAATGTATTCTGAAAGCCTTGATGGCCAGTTTCATAGCAAGTGTCAGCCCTGGGAATAAGGTAAAAAAGGAAGACAAAACAAAATACGAATTCAAGGCATCTCTATGTTCAGTACTACCAGACTGAATTTTAAGACAAATGAGACAGCATGGGGTCAGACTAATTCCTAATAACCGAGTCACTGGCCACCTATAAGCTAAAAGCACACACTAATTTGGTTCTGTTCAATATTTTGTCTTAAATATATCTTCCAGTGAYTACTGGCATTATGCTATAAAGGTTCTATATAAAGGAGAGTTCTTGTCATATTAAACCTCAGATTTTAGCACAGTACCTTAATACTCGAAAGTATAATGACTCCTGAAGAAAACAAAACCCTCACMAAACAACCCATACCCCCAGTGGATTCTGCCAGGGTACCTTCATAGTGCCTTGTATTTAATAGCACTGGGTAATTGCTGGTACTTGTTGGAGTCAGCACAAATTCTCAAATGCCTGTGCTTGAAAGGGAAGATCATTATGTCTTTGTGGTGTTGTCAATTCACAAAGCCAGACAGACTGCTGACAGCAGAAACTTGTAACAGAAACCAAGCAATAAAGACCATAATTTTCTGACAAAAGTAGCTACATACATTGTACTTCTGATGCTTATTTTATGGCATGACTGAGACAATAGTAAAAAGCATTGTCATGGAATAYTAAAATGACAATTGATCTTAAAAGTGGCTCTATGTAAAAACCCCAGACTCAACTCCCAGACTGAACTTTGATGAAGCTSCTTGGTAGAAAGCATTCTTCTAGGAGGAGACTGAAAAGCCCATATGTAATATATGAAAACTCACATTCTACATGGATACACTCAAGTTGCCTAYAGTACACTGAGCTTTTGTATTGCTAATTATTTTGAAGTACTACAGAGGCAAATTAACTAATTTTCTATATGTTTTCTTTCACACCTAGGCTCCCAGAATATACCTCAGGTCACTCTGGCACAATTTTCCAAGAACTGAGATGAGATTCAAAAGACCATTATTCAGTGCTGAAAATCAAATTAATTGATTTCTATTTTATCTCTTTTAATCTAACAATTTACAATTAATTCCCAGATTAAAGTTATTATTGATAGCAGAACCAAAACAGTTTTAATGTTACCTTTTTTCCTGGGCCAGATTTAAAAGTGAAACTCGTGTATGTTTCTTTTACTGAGAAGAAAACAGCAAAATGCAATTATGAAAATGCATTCTGTGGCCAGACTTAGGGTTCAACTGCACAGCTACCTGCATGAAAAGAAAAAAATGAAGCTACAGCCATGGTAGGTAAATACTTAATCTACATAATTCTTATCATTTACTCTGCCAATGTTTTGTTTCAGAAAACACCTACACATTTTCWGTGGTTACTTACTGTAAGCCCCATGCTAAGCATATACATAAAGGCCAATTATTCAGATGGTTTTGTCAAAATGTCTTCAGGCCTGACATTTGGGCTTTTTCCATTTTGCTTCTCTTCCCAAAACACCACAAYCATCTTTCAATAGCTTCTGTTGGACATGGACTTGCTGGTCATTGCCTAARGAGCTTGTAAGCAATTCTCTCAAGTTTGTTTTGGCAGAGCACCTACAGTTATTAAACTTCTTATTTTTCAAACTTTCTGTTACTGCTTTAGTCCACTGCCACAGCATCTGCATTGTAACAAGAAAGATGTTACAATGCAGATGTATAAGTGTTCCTTGAAGATATGGTATATCCTGACAACTAGAATATATGAGGTTAACTCCATCCTTTCCTACAACTTCCATAAYATTCAATAAATTGGTACCTGCACCAGTGACTGGCAGCACAGTAATTCCTGTACTGTGGATGAGATCCAGAGATGCCAGCTGCAATCCCAGCAGCAGCAGAGCTGTACTAAMACACTGCTGTTTGTGTGCTAATTATGCTTGCATTTCAGAAGACTAATTAGTTTGGGCAGAGCCCTATGCTAAGCTAAGTTCAGTATCTTTGTACAGTCATGCTCTCCAAAGATATTTCTTTCCTTCCTCCACCTTCCCACACACATTTGTCTAAATTAAGACACTACATACTGATGAGTTTACCTGTGGCCAAAATTTCCATGTGGTAGAGAATTTTGCTCCAAAATACAATACTACTCTAGAAAGAAACAGAAGTAACAAAAATTATGAAAATCTCATTGCTTGCAAAAAATCCAAATSAGGATTTCTGTTCAGAATCAGCAAGAGTTAATTTTCAAGCTTGGCCCGACTAAGAAAGCATTAAAACCAGCAGATATGACAGAAACTATATAAACCTAGTATGCAGTTTTCTAAAAGTATTCATTTACTGGCACTAATGATGTTGTATATTATCCCACCTGCCACAAAAGCTGATAATCTGGGATGAAAAKTCACTCAGGTCTGTTACAGAATATAAATGTGATCATCATTCTAGTTGAAATTGTTCAAAATCTTAGCATTAATTAGAATAATGAAGTAAAATGCCAGTGAATACAGAAAAAAGAAGCGTATACATTGAACAGCAATTGGAAGTATTAATCCTCCCTCATGTACATATCCTCAGGTATCAGTTCTGAATGCAGCTATTAAATATAAGGCAATGCATATTCTCTCTGTTTTTCTGTGTTTGAAACCTGATTTCATAAATGTCTAGACCTTTCACATAGGATTTTTTTGGCCTGGTTTACCTTTTTTACCTTTCTTTCAACCAATTAACTTTGCTTTAACAAAACAGGGAATTTACCTGAAGAAATGAGAGACCCAAAGTCAAAATCATTTACTTTCATATTTGTTGCAAAAATCACTGAGTCAGCAAGCAAAACCAAAATCTTCCAGTCACTTTTTCTTGAAAGCTGACCACAAAGTGACACATAAAGAGACTGAGTTTTGGGGGACTACCTGCAATAAGTTCTATTCAATATAACACAAATGCAAACAAGCACTGTTCTATCAGCTCCCCTTCTCAAGGGTACAACAGGGAATCTCAAAATAGGTGAGCTTAAGAAAACAGTAACAAATTTCTTTACTTAAATTACTTTTGGGTTGAAATTAAACAAAAACAGGGAGAACTGAGAATACAGATTCTCAGCTTTGTTAGAATAAGGGTCAATTTAACTTCTCTCACACACAGCTTAAGCTGTTGACATATAACAAAAAGTAACTTTGCTGCCAWATATTGCTTTCACAGAGCTGTATTACTTAGATTTCACTAAATTGCCATCATAATTTTAAATGCTGCTCTGTAATATTTTATTGCACGTAAATAGGAAGTAAATTGTCCAGTATACCAAAGAGGCATTTTTAAAAAATTGTCTTGAATATTCTACAAATTAGGTCAAATGAACAATATTGAATTTAAACACATTTGATAGCAGTCCACATCAGAGAGGATGCAGAAGACAATCACTGTGGTTAAATGGTTCTGTCTTTTTGCTTCTAAACTATAGGATTTTATCTTCCTATTAATTTTATTTAATGCATCATGAATGAATCATGGTTATTTCTAATTTATCAGTAATTATTATTATTGTTTCTTCTAATATTTGCATTTAATAGACARAATAAATTTAGGATTTTATTGATGGTTACCCCAAGGTTGCAACTGATGAACCAATACCTTTGCTTTAATGAAACCTCTGCACCCTAAAAATGAAAGAGACTATTTCTGGAAGTGGAATTCAAAATAAAAATTACCACTTTTAAAATAAACAGCCATGCCACCTAAATTAATATAGTTTTATCCAATCCACKGAAGTAATTTCTACTGCTGAAAGTTTCATCACTGCATGCTTGCAATGACAGTGTTAAAAATCTGTTAAAGCAATGTCACTGCAAACAAAGCTGCTGATCAGAAGCCATTAGCTAAGCATTGGTACCAGTGCTCCCTAAGAGCTAAAGTGGACTTCAGTTAATACTGCATCATCTGCAAGGTAAAGAAATTCCTTMTCAGTGGATGGAGTTTCCTTCTACAAGTCCAACCCAATTGATTATACTGAAACTAAAAGTAAAAGAAAGAAAGGAAGATTCCCCTCAACTATGCTTTTAAAATCTTTTTACAGCCTTAAAAATCTACTTATGAAACACTAAAGGKTGCAGTGTTTAGGAAAATGTTATTTACAAATAATACTACCTTTAGATAAAGCCATCCTTAGATTCAAAACATTTTTTCCTTCCCACACTGAAAGGAGATTCYCTTGCAAAGCAAAATGCCCACCACTAATTGAATCCAATTAGAACATGACAATAAACTGTTGCATAAGAATTGGGGATGCAGAATTTCATTACAACCTATAATCTGAACAAATGTACGCTCATCTATAGAACTATTTAAATTAGGGAGACAGAGCATATTTGGTTAGCAAAATGCAGTGCYTAATTTAACATAAAGGCTGATTTGCAGTTGAAAGAATTTTTATAATTACTAATCAAACTGAATTAGACTCTTTTCTGGAAAGCAATTAAAGGAAAAAAAAAATACAAGGCAAGGCTAAAAACAAGTCAGAATGCATGTCCCTAGCTTGTTTCAACCGAGGTGCAGTTTAAAACTTCAGCATACTGGGAACTTGCCTTAAGTTTTCAGAGGTGACTAAATGCACAAGACACTCAGCAGGAGCCAYGTGTGCCTCAGCACATCTGAGCCACACAAGTGTTGGGAACAGAAGCACGTGGTTTATGTTTCACGTTTGGTTTTGGTTATTCAAATAATGGGCATTACACCTGCATCAGTTCACAATAAGTTTATTTTATGTGAAGAAAAGCTTTGCCATTAATGAAAAATTTCAGTAGAAAACAGTACCTCCTGCTTTCAATCTAGATTACTCAAAAGTAGAAGCTTGTATTAGTGAAAACTTCAGTAGAAACAAATCTGTAGGAAACGTTCTTGGCACATGAAGTAAAAGCTTWAAACACATTAAGTTTGAATAGAGTATTGACCGTGCAACCATGCTGGCAGAAAAGCCAGTTCTTAATGGCTGGTATTTGTCCCTCAAGACAATAACATGGAAGACACATAAACCTGCTTACATAACGTTAATTGTATATAAATATGGTGTTGCCATAATTGACAGTCTCTATTCAGGCCAACCATTTAGTTTAGCAGTTCTAAATAAGTAATAGGCACTTTGCCTTTCTGATTTCCCCTTTCACCCATCAGCCAGTCTGAATCCATGCCAGGGATACTGTACACTGTTATCACCTAAAAAAAGAGAAACACATTATTATAAACCTTGTTTGCAGGGAAGAGAATTACAATCTATCTTAATGAGATTTCCAATGTCTTAGAATTGAGATTAAGCTTGAACAGAGAATTTAATATCCATGAAACAGAATCTAATGCTTATAAAAATTATTTCACTGGTCCGTGGAAAAGAATAGAGACAGTAGCGTTTATTAAAGAACCTTTTTTTCTGTTGAAATTCTGTTAATTACTGTTGCTTTTCTATTATGCTTTATCTTTAATTTTTGTGTATCCACCCTTAGCCTTAACAGGCAATCTAAAAGAAACTTCTTTGGAATGCATGATATAAGGTGTGGGCTCAAACTTTCTACGACGATGTAGCACATCAWCACCATCTGTCTTCCTATCTAAGTCACTCTCTACATAAGAAAAAAGTCAAATAGAAATATTGAAGTAATGCACATTTTAAAACCCAAAAATTCTGATTTCTTTTTCAAAATTTCTTTTTCAGCATTAGGCTACAGCCACTTTACCAGGTGGAACTCTGTTCCAGCACTGTACTTCAYCATCTATCTCCACCTGCTTTGTATAAACTCTCTGACTTATGACTGCAATGCAACTGGAACAGGAATAAACACAGCACAACCTTCACCATCAAAGCAAGAAGTAGTTTTCTTTTTATGTTCTTCCAAAATTGCAATATTCAACATATGAAAAACTAATCACATTGATAATAGTGCTAAAGGTGTGATGAAAAGTAGACAGTAGAACTGCATCTTGGCTGTGTAGCAAATGTTCTTGCAAGCTAAGRTGATGTAACAAATGTTGATTTCCACTAYAGAATAYTGGGATACATRGGTACAGGACAATGCTCCAATTATTGAAATCTAATTTTAAAGAMTCAACTACACAGACTTTTTGATGTAGCACATATTAACTAGCTACTCACAAGCATTCCCATTTTACTTTAAAATGATAAAGGTACATAGAAAACTCTTACCTCATCTGCAAGTAGTGATAATTCACTGCTGTTYGCAGCATCATAATCATAGAGAACTCTTGCTTTCCTGCTGCCACTTGATGACTTCAGTTCACTGAGGCCTGAAGTAACGATTGAATTGCTTACTGAAGGCAGTGAAGCAGAGGCTGAGGCCAAGACTGAGGGAGTAGAAACACTCTGCACAGGAGTTGTGGAAGACTGATTGTTGTTAGAGAGGAAAGTAGATGGAAAGCTGTGAAAGAAAAAAAAAAAAAAAGACTTCTGAGTTAATCTATTTTACATAGGGCATTACTCTTGTTCCCATGCCTAAACTAGCATTCTTATTTTTATCAGCAATAAACACTAGCAGATAGAAGTAACAGAGTAGMATTGAGAGTTGTACAACATAAAGATACTTGTTCCTGATGAGCAGCATTAATCAAATCAATATAATTTAAAAGAAATACTGCCACCTAAAAAAAMCYCYT